TAGGCAGCTCAGTCATTTTCTCTTGGCAAGACTTTCTTTAAAGATATTGGCCTTGAAGGAGAGGTCAGAGGTCACATGTGACACATTTTAAATCTTTATACAGTCCTTTCAATGTGTTGACAATGCACACCACACTTGTAAGAAACATAGTCTCTAAGTTATAAGGCTTTTTGTCAATTTTCAACCAATAAATCAGAATATCTTGGTGGACGTCAGCCGAATTTTAATGGACTGTTAACATTGATTTATTCAAAGCTATCGTGTTTACAAACATGTACACAAACGCTACCAGAAACATCGCCTCCTTGGTTGATGTAAACATAGTATAAAAGCCATCCTGCCCAACTCTCACTCACAAAGCACATAAACACTGTAAAACTTTGCATGCACACATTCCCCCGATTCAATAACTAGATCATCAGCATCAATATATAAGCCTACATAAAACAATCAGGTTAATTGTCAGGGTTTGCTGTGTCTAGGACCTCAACACAGGACTCGGAGAGAGAATAATTAACTAAAAGCAGCAGCTTTCTTGCAGGGGAACATTCAAATATGAAATACAGGAAAGCTAAACTAGAAACACAAAACTTAAACTGGAAAACTGAGAAACTAGAAAACAAAACCAGGAAACAGAGAACCAGAACGTTACCAGAAGCACAGAGGAAAAACACAACATGATGAGGGCAATGAGAGGATGGGGAATAGGTGGTAACACATCTGGGACAAATCAGGCCTAATGACAGAAGGGAAGCAAAACCAAGCACACTGCACACAGGACAGGGACTATCAAAATAAAACAGGAAAAACACGACAGGCATGGACCTGACACTCAACAGATTGAACACGGAGCACAGAGACATGAGTGACAAACTCCGACATGACACACGACTGACCGGGGAGCAAGAAAATCAGCATGAAGACAGAACTAAACCTTGAGTAAACATGAGGGCTACAGGAAGAAAACCCAAGTACTAGAAATCACAAAACAAAAAAGAACTCTAGAGCTAGAAATACTGAACCATAAACAAAAATGATGAACCATGATGAAATCTAAGATTAACAATAACACAAAACACTGGGTCACCGACACAGGACCGTGACATTAGTAGAGGGTAAAAAATCTTGACCTTTCTGATTTCTAAATAGCAAGACACATCTTTTACCTCATTTTAGTATGTCAGCTGCACACTGACTCTATTAACAGTTTTCATGTGATGTTGTATCATTAAAGGAAACGCCCACCATTAGAGGAATAAAGTAAGGCTTTATTCCACTGCCTGCCAGTTAATTTTACCCCATTTGTAAAAACAACCAACACATAACTGGCCCATAATGGTGGGTAGTTGTTCAGTTGGATGCGCTAAAAGCTATTCACAGGATAATGGCACTGCATGGAAACACACTTCTAATCTGCCACACAAGCACTGCAGACAAATGTTGTCAAATGCTGGTGGAGCAGAACAAACTTCCTCCTCTGTGCATGTGTGAAAAAGCAGTAAGTGTGGGGCCAAAGGAACCAGAGAAGATGTTGTACCAAGATAGTTAACACATAATATGCAAATATAAAATGAAGTGTGAAGCAATGACCAAGCAATTCTGTGATGAGCCACAAACTCAGATAAATAAGAGTTCTGATGTAAAGCTGCATTTAAATCCTCACTTCAGATCCACGCAGGATCTGAAGTGAGGATCTGAAGTCTAAGTCTTTTCAGAAAATTGCAAAAAACTGGAGAGGAAACCACACCACAACACTGTTATGTTTCAATATAATGTGATAATTTACCACGGTGGGTGGCGATCCTACAGTCAGGCTACTTGTTAGTGTCGTTCTCCAGCGCTGTAGCCGTTAATCACAGTGATTACTTAACCACAAAGGCTCTTAAGTGCTGCTTATCAGAGCTCCTCTGGAGACCAATTACACCTTCACTGCTATCTCGTTCACATTAACCCACCTCTGAAGTTCTTTTTTTATCCTCCAGTCCTCATCCTAACATCCATCTTCCACTTTCCACTCCCTTTGACCTCACCTACTTTAATCTCAGTTTTGTTTCTCCTGTCCTTTAAAAACTCTGTCCTGTCTACTCATTTCTCAGCTCTTCGTCCCACATCACCTTTACTTGAATCACATTTCTTAATCCAATTTTCTTAATCCTCTTTGACGTTTTACACAGATGAGTGAAAGCTGTGACTTGCTAGAGTTGTTGGAAAAGTGAAGAATAGCCCATACTCTAAACCCTAAAAGCACCAAACACTGTGTTTGTGCCAATCTTAATCCATCCAGTGAACTAAATATTGTTGGCAATCATAAAAACTATGGCACACGTGCACTGACAGGTGTGCCATATATGCTTTTTTTTTTTAATTTGTAAAAGATATTCACAAGATGAGTTAGACGGTTGTTTTTCAGCTGTGTTTTAACCTCACAAACAACCTGAAAATAAGATCAGTAAACTCTACTGAGCCACATAGAGTCCACTGATAGTGTTACTGTGGTTACGTTTTTGGTGTTTTTTACTTTAGTCTCTTCAGCTTCAGCGCTGACTAAACAATGTTAGTTTGCTGCTTTAATGGAGACTGATGGAATTTGGGGCTGAGATGACAGAGTTGGATAAGTTAAGACAGAATGACAACACAAACGCCCATCACAGCGTGAAAAGGGGGTCAAAACCTGGGTGTCATGTTTCTATCATTGCTGATCTGAGCTGGAACCGCTAATAACTGTGACAGCTGCAGAGTCATTTGACCCGGACTGAATCCCTATTATACAATTTCACACTGAAGACAAAAGTCAGATGTAAGTGGGTTTTTGTTCAGTGTTCAGGGTTTTTTAAAGGTCACATCAAAATCTGACTTCTAAGGGAAACCTTGAACCTTGAAGAAGGAAGGAGAGGAGAGATTCATCTGGACTAAGGGTGAAAGGAGAGGGCGTGAAGTGGTGGAAAAAGGAACTTCAGGTAAGTAAAGCTGGCGCTCGGCTAACCACAGTCATCCATCTGCCTTGAAGGTCGGAGCTAAACCTGCACAGATTATCTTTCCGGTGAGGTGACAGGGGTCAAGAATGAGGAGGGGATGTTTACTTGCAATGTTTTAAATCATGCACCAATACAGAAATGAGGGAGAATTGCATTTAAATTTAATGGATCATTTAAAAATAAATGTAATTTCCCCCTCACTGCTTTGTAATACACTTTAGGTTAATGAGCCAGTGAAGCAGGAAACCAGGAAAGGAAAAAGAGGGAAAGATGAAATACGTGAAAGAGAGGGACAGACTGACTGTATCCATCTTCACCGAGGAAAGAGAAAACAGGGGAGGGGGGGCGGTGCAGACACAGGGGAGAAGAAGATGAGATCCTATTGATTTTAACATTACAACTGTAGAAGTAGAAAACAGGAATTCTTCAGGAGGAACAGAGGATTCATGGTTTCGATTTTCGACTAAAAAAGACCATTAAGGTCCATCGAAACATCTCCCCGCATCCTAGTGAAGCATGACATTTTCTCCGAGATCGCTGTCCCTGTGTCTCTCTCTCCCTCTCTCTGCCTGAGGTGGCTCAGCTGCTCGAGTGTCTAATGAAAGTGCAGAAGTCATTGTAGATTTTCATACACAGATATTTTTGTAAATGCATATAATTGATCTCAAAATGTTCAGTTAAAAACAAAGTATCGATACCTTTCAGGAACTGAGAGCAAGAAAATCACTTCTGCATGTGAAGATCATTCATCACGCTTAGCATAAATCAATAATTCATCATTGGTCATTCATCCTCATAGTTTTCATAGCTTCTTGTTCTTTTTAAGATACACTACAATAAGTGGAAGATTATTGATTAGTGAATAAATCCTCAAATTCTTCTTTTAAATGATAAGAATTACAAGCAGTGAATTTCAGACTGACACACACAACACTCAGAGGTGAACCTACAGCACGCTGTGCTCAGATCACCTCTGACTCTGACACTTATGTTTTATTTTCTTTTGTTATCATCTGCATGTGACAGATTCAATTGAGTTTAATTCAAGTTTATTTATATAACACAGTAGTCGCCTCAACACACTTTTTTCCTGTAAAGATCCTAAGTAGGCCGAAGAATGCATGAATTAAGGACCAATCTACTGTTTTCTCTGCTAGAAGCAGTCTGTTTGCATTAGATGTAACCTCTGTGTGATATTTGTCATTTGAACAGCAGACTTTGGTACTGTAATACTAACTAATGCACACTCTCCATTGTCCTTTTTAAAGTGAAAAAGGACAATATTATTATTCATTTATGCACAACTGAGACATTTTCTGCTAGGGGTGATAAATGAGCTACGGGCTTTACTAGTACAGGCATCCCCCTTTAAAGTTCATAAACTCATTACAGAACGCTCCCAGTCTGCTTCAGCACACAATAAACTGCACTCAGAACGGTTCTTGACAGTGCCCAAGCTGGTTCTGCAACATCACAAACAGTGCATGGTCGCTCCCAGAGTAATATGGAGCTGGAGGGATTCAGTGACACAAGCAGCCGATTTAATCGTTCAATCTGATAATTTATTAATTGTCTGCTCTCATTACCCCTGGAGCTGTGGCAGGGACACTAGTGCCTGCTGTACTGCAATGTCAGTGGTGCCAGCTCAGCTGATTTCCCGCTGCTACAGGTTAATGGGATCACAAAAAATAACACCCAGAGTGGATGGGATGTTGGGAAGTTGACAATAAAAAGGAAACAGCAAAAACCGTGAATATGAATAGTAAAATCTCCCTTTATTTTATTTCTGTGCATCAAGAATTCTAGTTTTTTATATCACTATTTAATGCAGACGCTAAACTTTGTCGCGATGTCTGTGTTACAGGATGTGAAAACGGTGATCTAATGATCTATCAGGAAAAATCCTCAACGACCGAGCTCAGTTCTAGTTTTCTGTTGTAGAAGACAGTTTCACTTGCATTTAAAGCAAAGCGCAAATAGAGCGGTAAAGACGCTTGTCATTAAACGATGCGATGCTGTACTCACGTTTAGGTTCCTGGAGTCTTGGAGTCAGTTCCCAAAAAAGGAGACTATCCAGATAGGGGGACGAAAACTCGTTTAGTTTCATTCAACCTCCGCGAAAAATGCTCGGACAGATGGCACAGTGGCTGTGAAAGTACCAAACAGTGTGAGCACAGCGACAACAGCCGGCAGACTGAGACACACACACAGCCAAACACACACATGCACACACAGACGGAGTGAGAGGGAGAGAGTGAGCCAGAGAGAGTAACCGTCACTAAGTGAGACTCTAAGTTCCGCCTCCCTCCCTCTCTTCTTGTACTCTGTTACGTCGCTTCAATGCGCCTTTACATGAAACATTTAAATAAGTAATATTGTCGAGCAAAATATAATTTAGACAATAGTCCACAGAAAATTGAGATCTTAAAATTATAGATTCATACATTAATTGTTTGTGCGTGTGTGTGTGTGTGTGTGTGTGTGTGTGTGTGTGTGTGTGTGTGTGTGTGTGTGTGTGTGTGTGCCTGCATGCCTGTGTTGTTGTGTGTCATTCCCGGTCCCTAAGGTTGTGGCATATGTTGATATATATAAAAAGCAGCAACTTATGACCTTTCACCTTGCTATATATAAACTTTGGAGTGTGTCTGCTTTTTTTTTTTTTACCTCTGTCTGTCTGTCTAATGCTTTTTTCACACATGCTGCTGCCCTGACCTTTTCTGAACATCACCGAGCAAAAGGGCATGTGAGATCGCACGCCCACTTCAGCTGTGTCTGAAATTAGCCAGTTTTTTAACTTAGCGGTCCCTTAGTACAAAGTTTGCAGGATCTGTAGCCCATGGTTTTGAATAATATCACTAATAAACTCACACATACTTCCACCTGCATTTTCTATCCTCTGTCTGAAGAACGCCTTTCCCCCCCATTTGGAAACAGTCAACAGTGTAAAATATGACGGTGTGATTTTTCTGAAATTTACCAATGTTTGGGCTTGAGTATGGCTTAACGTTCCCAGTATTAAAACTAGAAAAAGTTGCATTTCCTGCAAAAATGCAGTGTGAATGCTGTGTAGTGGAATCTGAAAACAGCAGAAGGAGAACTCCGCTGAAAACACTGTGTAGAAGCTGAACTCCGCTGAAAACGTCTTTATTTGAAAGACTACACTGAAGAGAGTCAAGAAAGAAAGACGTGAATTAGCAGAATTTCTGCTGAAAAGAGGTAAAGAAGCTGAAGTTTGCAGTGAAAACAGCTAAAGAAGCAGGAATTTGTGCTGGAAAGTATTGAAAAATGGAAAATTCTGCTGAAAAGAGGTGAAAAAGCTGAAATTTGTGTTGAAAAGAGTTTAAAAAAAAAGTTGAACTGTTTACTGCAATTTTTTTTGTCATAAGCGGGATTTGCCAAAAAATGGCATAAAAAAGCTTAATATCTCAAAAAGTATGAAAGGTATGAGCACCAAAAGAGCTGGCATTAGCATGGAGCAGAACAGATTAAAGTTTAAATGTGGAAATCGGCTGAAAACTGAGGGAGTAGTTGACCAGCAAAGGTCGGAGCAACTAGAATAAGGTAGAATAAAGTTTAAAGAGAAACAGGATCTCAATAGTGTGAATGCCTTGAGGACTGCAGATCCCCATGCACTAATGAGAGGTGAATGAATTGAAAAAGGGGGCTGGGATGGGGCATAAAACGAAAACAAACAGCTTGCAGTGCAGGGGGCTCATATATAGACAGAGAATGTGTGCGGTGTTGTCCCACTCATGAAATCCAGTTAAATGATCTTCAATTCAAAGGATCTTGGAGTAAAAAAAGAAAAAGTCTCACTTGTCAGTTTGGCACACCTGTCTGCCACAGATATGATGCAATGTGAAACAATATGAGATAACATAGTGCAATACTGTAAGATGCCTCACAATGAGACACATCACCATGTAACAGAATGAAATATGATGCAATGTCATATGACAACATATCATACTATACCAGGGGTGGGCAACTCCAGGCCTCGAGTGCCGGTGTCCTGCAGGTTTTCGATGTGTCCTTGATCCAACACAGCTGATTCAAATGGCTAAATTACCTCCTCAACATGTCTTGAAGTTCTCCAGAGGCCTGGTAATGAACTAATCATTTGATTCAGGTGTGTTGACCCAGTGTGAGATCTAAAACCTGCAGGACGCCGGCCCTCGAGGCCTGGAAATGCCCACCCCTGTACTATACAGCAGCGGTCCCCAACCCCCGGGCCTCGGACCGGTACCGGTCCGTGAGTTGTTTGGTACCGGGCCGTGAGAGTTGAGGCTCAGGTGTGAAATGTATGGTTTCGTCACGGTCCTGGGTCAGTGACCCAGTGTTTTGAGTTTCTTGTGCCTCTGAGTTTTCTGTATTATGTTCTTAGTTCTCTTGTTGTCCCAGCTTATTCTTTAGTGTAGTGTCTTAGTTTGGTTTTCTTGTATTCTGTTTAGTTCTCTGAGTATTTAGTAGCTGCCCTCTGTGTTTCTTAGTTGCTCTGTCTCCCTTGGCTAGTTTGCATCTGTGCTAATTCCTGTTTTACTTTGAAGGTCTGTGTCTCATGTGAGTGTATCCTACTTTGCTCCCTTGTCTCGTCAGTTCTGATTTCTCCCAGCTGTGCTCTCCTTCTGTGTCTCATTCCCCTCGTTACTTCCCAGTGTATTTAAACCCTTGTGTTTCTCTGAGTCAGTGTCGCGTCGTCCCTCATGCTGTGTGGATCTCCCTGTGTTTTAGTTCATTGTTTCCCAGTTTAGCCTATTTTACTTTGTATGCTCGTTTTTCTGTGATCAGCAAAAAAAGGCTGTGATTTTGAGTTCATCCCCTGAGTCTGAGTCCTGCACTTTGAGTCCTCATCTCCTGCCTGCCACACAGCGTTTCATGACAGGTTTTCAGGGTTTTTATCGGTTTTGAGCGTTATTTTGTTATCGTTTTTATCGTTAACTCGGTTTTCCTGGGTCTTTTCACGTGTGTTATGAATAAATCTTCTTTTTTACGGTACCGGTACTAGTTTTATTTTGTTGTATTTATCCGCAACACTTTAAAGGCTGGTCCGTGAAAATATTGTCAGGCATGAACCGGTCCGTGGCGCGAAAAAGGTTGGGGACCGCTGCTCTACAGTGCAATATGACCTAATGTGATACAATATGATGTGATGTCATAGACTAGGATATGATGATATGATACCACACAATACGATACAATGCAATACAATTTGATACGATACATTCAAAATGTCAAACCATAGAGAATTGTCGTGTCAGTTTAACTGAAACTCTTATGTGTTTTACTGACAGCTCCATTAAATAGTCCCGATCAGGACTCACAAATCTCAGCATATTCCTGGAAGGAGATTGATAAATCTACCGGAATGGATGTGCACAAATATGTCTGCAGCCCCCCAAAACAAACTAACCACAACAAAGAGTGGGCATCCACTCCACTCCAAGGGGGAAAAAAAGCCCTGGCATTATATTTTTTTTCTCCTGTGTCTCGTGGGACACATAAAAACACCTGGACGTGACCACAAGGTAATTAAAACAAAATGCACCAACACAAGCATAAATGCTACAACGTCAGCTGTTTACGTGGGATAAAAAGCCGGGACTTTTTCCCCTCTCAATCCCGGCTCTTTGTTGTGGTCAGTTTTGGGGGGGGTTTCGGGGCCAATCACATTTGTGTATTCTGATAGTTTCTGCAGTAATATGCTGGCATTTGTGAGTCCTTACACTGATGCTATGATTAATATTCCTATAGTGAGATGATGATTGTTACCGTCACTGATAACTTCAAAAACTGCAGCACTAGAAACACACAGGACAAATTGACAACACTGAACAGACCAATCACATTAGATGCAGACTGCATTAATATGACGTGTAATTAAATTTGTAGTGAGATGCACGTCAGGTTACGGCGTGGGGTTTCAGAGGAGCTACATGGTAGATTTCCTGCCGATCCATAAACTCCCAATTAGTGCTCTACAAAGATTCACTGCAGGAGTCTGTATTAGACAGCGTTTTTGGAGTTCTGCTTAAAGAAAAGCTGATTTTTTTATTGGCTCATTATAACAGAGAATCTTTTGTCTTCATGCCTCTTGAGTTACTTTCGGCAATCTCCAAGTGGGCTGTCATATGTCATTTACTCAAGAGTGGCTTTCATCTAGCCAAACCACCATGCAGGTCTGACGGAGTGCTGCTGTGATTGTTCTTGCATCTGTTTAAGGTTTGTGCTGAACAAGACTGAAGCACTGTTCTTCTTCTTGTTTACAAGTTTTTTACAAAGAGACGATTTTATGAAGAGCGCTGGTGATCCTCAGTTTATTTTATGTTACAGTCACAGAAGCTTTTATTTGTGTGTGTGGAGGTAGGAAATTTTTACTGCAGGCTGTGTCATTTTGTGCAATAACAGGACTGTTCTCTGGACACTTATAACAGGCACTTTCGTGTCGCTTCTACAGTCTGGAGATGGGGGACGATGGTGTTGTTTCTGTGGGAAATCACAAACTGATGTCTGTGCGTTGCTATGTGGGCTTCCATGTATTTTGTGTTTGATGATTAACATGTGTGAAAGATGTGGGAGGATGTCTCTGTGCACCCTCACTCCTTCTGCAGTGCCTGTCAAATGCTTATCAAGCGTGTCAACATCAAATCTACTTTTTGGGTGAAACACCACGAACACGGTGGAGGACATTCTTGTTATTCTAACCCTGTAAAGGTGTAAACAGGAATAATCTGGTGCTTCAGTACTAAAATGATTTCCTGTGGGGAACTCTTTAGAGTATTTTGAATCTTTATGAGAAATGATGTACCGCATGGTGAGAAAATTAATGACATCTAACTGCTGTCAAAAAGTAAATCATTTGTGATTGAACTGTTTTCTGGAAACATGGCCTCATTTCTGGTTCAATTGACTTATCGGGCAGGAGTAAATAAAAGATAAAACATGCCACCCTTTGATTGGTGCAGCTGATTTAACTTTGCACAAATAAGCAATTAAAATTTTAAATAGACTCTAAAGCTCTTTGTTTGGGTTTCATATAAAAGATTACAGGTGCTAATAAGCATCATGCATCGGAATTATATTCATTAGGGAAAGGTGACTTAAAACACTAAAAGCACAACTTTGACTTTCGGTGTAAGACATACAATCTAATTTCTTGTGAAGATGTAAAACGTCTCCCACCAGTCAACTCTGTTTATTTACATGGTTGATCGCACTGTTTTTCCCATTATCTG